AACCAACATAGAAATGAAGTTAAGAACTGTAAAAACAATGGTTGCGCTCTTTCCCAACGCTCTTTGGAAACTGGACATCTGTTTGACTTTGATAACGTAAAAATGTTGGATAAGGAAAATAATTACTATAACCGTTTGTTTCTGGAAATGTTTCACATTAGAAATGAAAAACATACTGTTAACTTTAAAACAGACACAGTATCACTTAGCAATATTTATTCTTTAATTTTCGATATTTATAATAAGTTTTGAGGGTAAAAACACACTAAATTGTTGGTCGTTAATAGTGATTGTTAGTTATTTTCATGAAATTTCAATTTGTTTTTTTTTTGTACTTTTCCTTTTTTTATTTGTGTACATGCTATTTGTAATTCTCGTTCTCAACCGCTTCACGGAGGAGGGCGTTAGTTGTTTTTTAGTTTTTAAGTTTTTTGTACTGTACGCGTTGACGTTTACACGTGCGTTTCCATGTTGGAAGAGAATAGATTTTTTGTTGTGAAAGTTTGATAATAATTGATTGTTTTTTTGTATTAATGTTTGCCAGTTTCAAGAACTTAGGTATGTTTAAGAGGTTAAATTTTTTAATGCTGTTTTTCTTTGATATTTTGTCGTTGTAGAAATAAGCTCTGAAAGATTAAACATTTAATCGAAATATTGGCATGTTAAAATAGTTGTTTTAATTGTCCTAGATCCTAGTCCTGAATTATATTGGTTTTTTCTTTCATACTCATATTCTAAGAACTGGATTTTATACGAATTTTGAAAACGTAATCGGCGAAAATTGCAAAATTTGAAAAAATTGTCGATNCTTTTCGTTTTCAAAATATAAGTGAAAACGTACTTTTTCTCCAAACTTTCAACCCCTATAACTCGCCCCAGGGGCTTTTACCGCACGTATAAAAAAATGTACGAACCTTATTTTGGCCCATTCTATGACTGTACCAAATTGCATCGAAATCGGTGAGACACAGTTGTGACACTTCCCTTGTGAGATATTCACGTTTGTCGAAACAAAAGACGATAGCTATCCGGAGATTTCGATATTAGCAGTTTCTCGAAAAACGAAACATATTACACATGTCATGATGTTGCTTTTTTTGTATCTCGTTTAGTTTCGGAGATAACCTATGCGGCCAACGAATTTGGGACACCTATACATTAGGAATTTAGGAAAATATTTGGTGTATACCAGTTTCTCAATAGAATAGCAACTATACTCCCAAAAAAGACAATGTTTGCCGTTATTATGTAAAATAGCAAGAGTTTTAAACAAACATCAACTACTGTTGATTTTGGTAAAGCTTGATTCTCATTTACTGTTAGTCTCGAAAAAGGGTTGCAGGACGCTCTATATTAGCTCAAACATAAGAATATTAATATATCCTAATTTCTATATATTTCGTTCTTCACAATTGACGTGAAAACTGGTTTGACAAATTTTTATTTTGCACCGATGTTTTTTTTTTTTTGATAGAATTCAATGGCTGCGTATTTCGGATACGGCAGGAGAACCACCACATCATATTTCAATATTTAATAAAATTGCTCAAAATATTCCTTATAAAAAGACGATCAAGTTTTTTATGAATTGCAATTGTTCCAAAACGTTTCCGTGATTGAGCTAGTAAATGATAGATAAAATTTTACTTTTGTTATAGCTTTGACTTAAATGAATTACGAGCAAAATTAAAACCATTTTTAATTTTTCTTTTGCGAATAGTGCAAAACAACATTGCACAACGATTATAATCCATGTATTACAACTTGATTGTCGTTTTAAAATGAGTGTTTTAACAGAACTCAAGCCAATAGTTATTGAATCAGATAAACGCCATGACCAACCCAACCTATCCCACCCGCAAAGTATTACTATTTTATAGTAGATGAAAAAGTCTACCACACATTAAGAATTTATTGATGGTGTTTAATTTTTTACCTTTGTTAGACAAAATAAACTTAATAAAGATGGGTCCGCAAATGAACGATTTCGGAGATATAGTTTTCTAACGTTGTGAAATAACAATATTGTGAAATAAACATTGACTGTTTGACTGTTATCAGTGCATAAGTTTTCGTTTGCTATGGTTGTTTACTCTAACGCAGAATTAACTGACATGTATTTCATGTATGGTCATGCTGATAGGATTGCCACCGAAGCGCGAAGACTTTTTGCTGAATCTTATCTAAATCACCAGATTCCTTCACATCGTACTTTTACAAGAATTCACTAAAGATTGCGTGATATCGGTTTATTAAGCAGACGGAACATGAAGGTCGGTATCTACTCCTAGAGTAGAAGAAGAAATTCTGACACGGATAGAGCGTAATCCGGGGACGAGTGTGTGGAGAATATCAGCCGTAGCAGGAATTAGTGCTTCTCTAGTTTGGAGAATCCTTCACGAGGAACTGTTTCATCCGTACCATGTACAACGAGTACAGAATTTAAAACCAATTGATCTTCAAGCGCGTTTAATGTTTTGCCGTTGGTTTCTACGTAATGATACTGAAGACAACCGTTTTCTTGCCAATATTCTTTTTATTGATGAGGCCAGATTCACATGCAATGGAGTTGATAATTTTCACAACACGCATGTTTGAACCGATCAAAATCCCCATGAAATATGGACATCAGACACGTTTTTCATTAAACATTTGGATGAGCATTGTAGGCGACTGGTTTTTAGGTCCTGTTGTTTTACCAAACCGATTAACAGGCGCTGCTTATCTAAACTTTCTCAAGAACACAATGATTAACCTTTTTGACGGCATTCCCTTAGATCAAAAGCAACAAATGTGGTTCCAGCATGATGGTGCTCCACCTCATTTTTCGATTGCAGTTAGAGAACATTTAAATCGAACTTTCCCACGTAGATGGATAGGAAGAAGCGGACTAGACTTCTTTTTCTGGGGATATTTGAAAACTTTAGTCTATGGTACTACTGTGATTAGTGATTACCATCGACGAGTTGCGTGTACGAATTAATCAACAATGCCAACAAATTGGAGTCAATGAGGAGATTTTAGAAAGAGTTCGATTATCCTTCAAACGGAGATGTCGTACCTTTTTGGATATGGAAGGAGGACGTTTTGAACATCTTACTTATTTTATTAACTTTATTTTTTGTTAGAAACTTCTTTTAAATGTTTGTTCGGGTGTCCCAAATTCGTTGTCCGCATAGGTTATCTCCGAAACTAAAAGAGATAGAAAAAAAAGTAGCTGCGAAAACAACAAACGCGAATATCTCATTTATTACCAATGATGAAGTATTATAATTAAAACATTATGAGCAACTTTTTACGAAGAATTCAGTGGCGTAGATAGATTTTTTTATTCGGACATTATCCGAAACTTTTACCTACAACCCGTTGTGTGTAAGCTTAAATGATTACAACGCTTTCTGAGCTATTTCTTTGCTCATTGAGTAGTGGAAAATACTTAATTAAAAATTTAATCAAAATATTGGCATGTTAAAATAGTTGTTTTAATTGTCCTAGATCCTAGTCCTGAATTATATTGGTTTTTTCTTTCATACTCATATTCTAAGAACTGGATTTTATACGAATTTTGAAAACGTAATCGGCGAAAATTGCAAAATTTGAAAAAATTGTCGGATATTCGTTCCACCACTAGTCCACACTATACATACAGATATTAAGACGATGTTAGCCTGGGACGTTTATTGGCTGAAAATGTTCACTATCGAATGTGGCTAAATATTGAATAGCTACAACACGTTGTGAGCAACCGTGATATACTCACAACGCGTTCTAGACACTTTTTGGTGTCGACAATGTGCAAAATTGGTTAATTTCGGCTATTGAGTAAACCAGAATACCCCCAACGCGTTATGAGTATTTTCAGCTACTCAATGAGCAAAGAAATTGGTCAGAACGTGTTGTAATCATTTAAGCTTACGCTCAACACTTTGTAGTTAAAAATTTCGGACAATGTCCGAATTCAGGTATTGCGAGTAACAGGTAACAGGTATTTTCCATCATACGTATGTATCAGGTATGTATGGTTATCACTATAGCAACATTAATTTTTACATACATACATTAGTTTTAGATAGAATAAAAAGAAATTTCGTTAATTATTCAATAATTATAAGAAATATACCCAACAAACTATATATATGTTATCAGAAGAAAATAACCCGTTTTCCATTTAAAAAAATAAAGTTACTTCTAAAATCTCGAAAATGAAAGATGGGAAAAAAATTATACCTACGTCACTTATTTCTCGTAAAAAGTTGCCCATAATATAAAATAATATTTTATTTATAATACTCTTTGGTAATAAGTGAGATAGGGCGAAAACAAAAGACGATTGCTGTTCGGAGTTATCGGCATTAGCAGTTTCTCGAAAAACGAGATCATGACATGTAAGCTACTTTTTTCCTATCTCTTTTAGTTTCCGAGATAGCCTATGCGAACAACGGATTTGAGACACCTGTACATGATAAATAATTTTTTTCAAAAAAGTTTTTTTTCATGCCTTTCATATCTCCGTAACCGTTCATTTGCGGACCCATGTTTATTAAGACTTTTTTGTCTACTTTGGTCCATACTAGTACCTCTTTAAATATTTTACATTCTTCTTTTAACACTCCGTATAAATATTTTTTCAAAAACTGCTATGAAAACTTGATTACATCCAGAACGTAATACTATATTAAGAAACTAGTTTCGTAAGATACGCTTGAAATGCACGAATTCAAGTTTAAAAACGAGTGGCGAAGCCACTTTTAATGAATGAGTGCTTTAAGTCTTATGAAACGTGTTTTTTATGCTATTTTTTGTAATTTGCATAAACACTTAAATGGAACGAAGACAACGTTATTTCTCTTTATTGTTAACAACCCGCACGCGAAGTTACTTTATACAACTTAATTTAATTTGATCATTATTTTCCGTCCCGTATATTCTCTATTCATTTGGCCCTATGGCATTTTACCAACATACAGATTCTACACATTTAATAAACTAATTTTATTTACCGCTTGAGTCTCCGTGTTCACCAATTATCCATCCATGGCAACTTCCAGGAGCAATTCCCAATCTTTGAGCGATATAATACCGAAACCTTGCCGAATCTAAATTTGTTCCAGCACCAACAACTCTTCCTTTAGGTAACCCACTCAATTTCCACGACAAGAAGGTCATAATGTCGACTGGATTCGAAGCAATTAAAATGACAGTATCAGGGGAATGTTTAACCAAATTTGGAATAACTGCTTTCATGATAGCCACATTTCTACCCATCAAACTCAAACGACTTTCTCCTTCTTTTTGGCGAGCGCCTGCAGTAACAATGCAAACTTTAGAACCCTCGCTGATGCTATACTCCGTAGAGTGTTCCACGTGAAGATTCGAAGAGAATGTGGATCCATGCTGAATATCCAACGCCTCACCTTCTAATTTATTCTTCATTGCGTCAATTAAGCAGATGTGATTACTAACCTTTTGGGCTAGAATTGTATAAGCACAAGCGATTCCAACACTGCCGGCACCAACCACAGTTACTTTCTTAGATTTGCAATCCTTATCTTGTATTTTCTTTAATAAACAATCTTTTAAACCGCCCCCTTGATTAGAAAAATTTAACGAAGATGGTTTATTGATATCATTTTTTGATAGATTCATATTTTTGAGATTATTTCTGTTTTGAAAATAACTCAAGGTTGGTTTGTGAAACAACGGTGTAGATGGAATTACCAACTTTTGCGCATTACCATAAGAAACATCTTTTAATTCGGTAGTCATTAAGGTGTTCGATAAATTGGTAAATCGAATGGGCATTGTAGAAAAACTTGCTGCTTGCTGCCCAGGATCATTCTTGAGGTTTTGTATGACACTGTCTTTAAGTAAGGCTCGGATGAACCTACGCGCTAAACTGAATACTCTTCGCTTCATTACTTTCAATTTCTTTGCACTTCATACGCTTTTTAAAATAATAAAATAAGTAAATGGATTTTCTTAGAGGAAAGAATAGAAAGACATTATTTGTAAATTGTGACAAGAAAGTTATGTTTGAAAATATTTATTTTGTTTCTATGGCTACTAGAAAAATGTAAATATATTTTATGTTTTATAGTTATTAATTTGTTGACCCAAAATTATTCGAGGTATATTTTTCCACAATACCTAAATAAATTCAAATAAGTAAACTATGTCGAATACAAATTATTTTCTCTTATTATTTTCATTCATCGTTATCTATGTTATCTACGAATTCTTGAGAATTCGTACGATTTGAGTGGATACATTGATTGCAAATGTAGTTGTTGTTCAGTGTTCAGTTTACAAGTTTTCTCGTTGGATGTTGGATCGACTTACTGCACTTTAATATCTATCCTCCTGGATACTCCTACCATAAAGTTTCTTTTGTTGGAAAATTCGAATAGCCCAACATATATTCATAACTATTTCACGTCAAGAAGGGAAAACGAGAAATTTAAGAGACCATACGAAAAGCATAGAAATTTATTAAAAGTTTATTGAATATACACGTATGGCACCATCTACATTTAATTATATTTTGAAGTCTATTGAGATGAAACTTCAAAAACATTCAAACTTTAGAGAGTACGTTTCTCTCCACAGTAAAATAAGTTAAACCATTTTAACAACATCGATGACATCATCAACTCGTTTAAAAATGGCGAAGATAATTTAAAATTTTCCCCAAAACATTGAAAAAAAATTAAGGGGGGAGGTCAAATAAATGGTCATTTTTTGCTTAGAAAGTTCATTTAACATCTGTACATCATAATATTGATGTTTTTTAGGTAATAAAACTTTTAAGGTTATGAAAAGATAAAATGTTGCAAAAATCAGTCTATAAGAAGAAAAAATTTGAGTGTACAATTGTAATACGGAGTACTACGTAAAATTTAAGCAAGTAAATTTGTAACGGGAAGATTATTAACTCCTTTTAAACCACTTCAGTTCACATGTGCACCATTTTTGCGTTTTGAATATTACTCAGTTTTATAACTAACACGATTGGGTAAAGTTCGGTGTATTTTTTCGTTATATTTCGAAAAAAAAAATTGAAATGCCCAAGAAATTTTTACAAGATGAAATTGAAATGAGTTGCAAAGTAGTGACGATGAATTTTATATTGACGCGCCTGAAAATGATAGATTGGATAGTGATAATATTAGTGAAGAAAGTGACTCTAGTTGTGTTAGTGATATTATAGTTACTAAAAGACAGGGAACCATACCTTTACCATGAAGTTCAAGCAGCAGTGAAGAAGACGAGAATATAACAAAACCTGGTAATTTTGGTACATGGCAGGACGTCACATGCCACGATCAGGTACCAGACACGATTCTATTTACTTCTGGGGATAAAATGGTAGGACCGCAAATTCCAGATACTTGTACAAAACCCATAGATTTTTTCAAGCTCTTTTTTACCGATGAGCTAATAATAAAAATAATGGAACAAACAAATAACTACGCTAGACATAAAATAGCACAGAAGAGGTTGTCAAAACGTTCTACATGGCACACGTGGGTAGATACTACAGTAGAAGAGTTTAACGCATTTATTGGGGTTGTCCTAAATATGGGTCCGATAACCGTATCTAATATCCAAGAGTATTGGTCACAACAGTTTAATGCCAAAATACCTTTTTTTAGTAGCATATTTAGAAGAGAACGATTTTTACAAATTTTTTGGATGCTCCACTTGCATGAAAACGATCCAAATGACCAAACTCTTAGGGCTCGAACTCAGAAAGTCAGTCACTATTTAGATTATTTGAACAAACAATTCAAAGAACATTTTGTTCCATCAAGAGAGATATCCGTAGACGAATCTGTTGTTGGATTTAAGGATAAAATTAGTTTTTTAACTTACAACCCTAACAAGCCTACGAAATGGGTGATAAGAATTTATGTAATGGCGGATGCTAACACCGGGTATGTTTATTCAATTTTGCCGTACTACGGAAGCTTGACATCGGAAGATTTAGTGAGACCTGATTTACCTGTAAGTACAAAGACAGTGTTACATATTTGTCAAAAATTATTAAACAATAACCCAGGATGTAAAGGATATCATTTTTACACCGATAGATATTCAAATACTATTCACTATTCAAATAAACCGCAAATTTATACCTGATTCTATCAAAAAACCAACATTTGCCGAAGACAACACATTTGCATGCAGGTCAGGTAATTTGATGTTATTGGCATGGAAAGATAAAAGGGTCGTCACCATACTTACTTCGTGGGATATTTCAGGAACACAGCCTATCAACAGAAGAGTACGTGGAGGTAACTTACAAGTTGTAAATAAGCCAAATGTAGTGGTCAATTACAATAAATTTATGAGAGGTGTCCACCGCGCAGACTCTTATTCAGCGTCATACTGTTTCCTGAGGAAGTCTTTGAAGTGGTGGCGAAAGTTATTTATCTGGGGACTCCAAATGTCCAGTGTCAATGCTTATTTATTATATAAAATTTCACAACGGGGCCAAGACAAAAAACCAACAACACATCTAAACTTTGTTCGGGAATTGGTTGACGAGATGACAAAAAACTTTCGGCAGGGGTCCAAAACTTCTGGCAGACCATCATCTGTAATGATGGGAAGAAAAAAAACTGTGTGGTATGTTCTAACCGTAAAGTACAAGGCGGCAGGCGGGAAACTAGGTATATTTGTGACACTTGCACCCGTAAGCCCGGACTACATATTGGTGACTGCTTCGAACGGTACACTACAACATTATAAAACGTAATTTTTTTTATATAGTGTATAAATTTATTTAATAATAATGGTAGTGATTATGATAATGTTGGGTTTTATTTGTGTTTCTCTATCCTCAAGATTTATTATTTTTGTAAACCATTATTTTTTATTTAGTGTTTTTCAAGTTTTTTTTATTCAGTTATTTTTCATGTTATAATTGTAATAAATTATTGTGTTTAATTTGAATAAACATCTGTGTAAAAAAATATTTTTTAAAAAACATCCTATATTTTTTAACATATTTTTTTTTAATTTTCTCAAATTTTTCTTTGGTTTTTACACAGTGTATTTACTAAGCAATATTAGCGCATTTAAAAAAAATCCCATATAAAAAAATATATATATAAAAATTCCGAGTAGACAGATAAGTAGATAAAATAATAGTCCGAGTACAGTATACTCACAAAAGGACATATATACGAGTGCAAAAGGTTAAATATAGTTTGTGTTAAGTAAGAATATTTTGTTTTGTTTACGATAAACTAAATTATTAACCTTTATCATTTCGTTGTTTTTGTTTTGATTTATTTTTAAACAGGGTAAGTTAACAACAATTTGTATCTTAAGTTGATAAAGTAAAAATAGTTAAGTATATACCGGGTACATGGTATTTACCCAAATTTACCCAATATACCCCGTATTTACCCATTAGGTACGTACCGGGTACAAACGTTGGGTATATACCCAAATTTTAATATGTAAAGACGAAGATGTAATATAAAGACAAGAAAAGATAGAGTTAGGAACTAAATTGTAAGAGAATTTTGTGGATTCGGAGATATCATGAGATTTACTAGTGGAAAAATAAAAAAATACTTCCAAAGAATGGAAGAAACCTGGCTGATTAAGACAGCAAGAGACTAAAGATTAGCTAGAAAGATATCGCGGGAGATCAGGAAGTTGGATTTCCAGCTCTAATGAAACACCATGAATGATGCGTAAAAAACAGGTTACAACCTGAATAAAAGAAGAAGAATAATAAGATCTTAAACGAACTAGTTAATTTTCAATTGGAAATCAACAATCTCATGGATCTTGGAATATTGGATGTGATAGAAGTGCAATATGACTAGAAAAGAATCAAACAACAAGAATTAATGAAGCACAGAAACTGAATTTAGTCATTAATATTAGACTTATACTCAATTCAGACATTCAAAGTTGTTTTTCGAGCATTAAAGAAATCGTTAAATATTTTCGAAGAGTATTATGTAAGCGAGAATGGTCGGTACTGAAAATATCCCGAAATATATGTACACTTTAAAGCTAATAACACCAGGAATGTGTATAAATTTGTTAGACAGTTAAAACAAAGGCACAAGTCGCACACAACTCTATACTGAGATGGAACAGGAAAAATAGTATGTGATAGTGAAACGAATGACATTTGGAAAAATTATTTTCAAAACCTATTAAGCATAGAAACTGATTTGGAAATAGACAGCAGTTCGTCACACCAAAGAAAGGATAGTGTCATGGAACCTATATCAATCAGTGAGGTTCAAAACGCAATCACTGCGTAAAAACATGGAAAGGCATCAGGGATTTCTGTCGACATACCATCGAAAGTATTCAAAATAGAAGTATTCATTATCACTAATATTGATATTTAAATTTTGTTGATATTTAGCCCGACTCTTGCACACGCCTCCTGTATACGTTCAGCATCAGTTTCATCTCTGCAAGACTATCCGAAATAAGGACTATATCGTCTACGTAGCGCAAATTACTTAGGTATTGCTATCAATGTTTATACCTTTTTGGGTCCAATTCAGTTATTTAAATGCACTCTCCAGGACTGTGATGAACAATTTGGGTTCAACATTATATCGCCTTGTCTTACCCCACGCCCAATGGGTATTCGGTCAGTACTTTCATGCAATTTTACCGTCATTGTAGCATTCTTGTAAATGTTATAAATAAGTTTGGAGTATTCATAATGGACTCTGCATTCTTGAAGTACTTGCAAAACTGCCACCAACTCAATTTAAACCAAATTTTATAAATACCTCTAAATACCCATCTTGGGTAAATACCCCCGGGTATACATATATCCAGCTCATTCCTATAGTTCGTCAATTTTTGTGGGCTCCTCCAGAGACTGTACCTAGTGAACAGCTGTTTAGCAGTGCTGGTTTAGTATATGAAGAAATCAACTTAATAGTTATAAGTCAGCAACACTCTTTTCTAAAATAGAATCTTTTTTGTTTAAGTTTGGTTATTAATTTTTTTAAGTAGTAAAGTTAGTTACCTACATAACATTTAA